AGTACATGCTGTAGTCGAAGAAAGGGTCTAGCATGTATTTGTCGAAGATGCTTGTTAAATTAGGTTTTAGTGTTTAAACCCTAATTTGTTAAGTTAGCTTGTTTCTTAAGTTAGCTTGTATAATGGGCCTTGTGGAAAAAGCCCATTAGTTAGTATGTTAGGTTTTATTATAAATAGCATACTAGTCTCTCATCATTGCATCACAGCAAATCCTAATTTAGGGTGAGAGGGTTATTTGTTATTCTTGTAAACTTGTAATCTTGTTTTCTAAGAGAAAGTAAAGAATAGCAGTTATAACCAATTCTTGTGTTCTTCTTCCTCCTTGTTTGATATTCCTCCCTTATTCTATACTTTGTTATTGGCATTGAATTCACAACAGGAGGATTGGTAGAACCAAAGCCTCCTAACAATGAATCTTAAGGTTATTGGATCAAAGGGTTCAAATTAACATACTTGGGCTTGCAAACATAGGTTTAGGCCACGAATGACCATTTTCTCGAATCGGGACAAAATTTAGCGCTATGTTAAGCAATCGTAATTGAACTTATGTAGAAGTGGCACCTATTTTGAGGCCGATCAATAGCAATCTATGTACTTCATGTTTGGATAAATGATATAGAGATCATCATCCCATAACATGTATCACAAATAAAAAAGAAAGGGATAAGATGAAGAGCGAGGGGAATGATAAGCTAATTTGGATTACTACCTCAAATTTCTTTCATCTTTAAATTCAATCACTCATCTCAATGGATTAAAGTACTAAACATAATTAATATAAATCACCAAAAATGAATTAAATAATTCACTCTTTGGTAGATTTGAATTAATGAATATTTATCCAAATTCACCTACACTCAAAGTCCATTGAATTTAAAGAGAAATTGAACATTTAAAATTGTAATCCAAATCAACAATCAAAAGGAGTGAGTAGAAAAAGATAGATGGATCAAAACAGCCCCAAAACAAGGCAGACAAAGCATTTTGACACTGTTACAATCGATTGCGCTCTGACAAAAATCGATTGCATCAGTGCTTTTTTTATAAAAAAAAACGTAAAATTCTATTGTGATAATCGATTGCACTTTTACAACAATTGATTGCGCACTGTTAAAATCAGAAACTCAGCATTTCAAAAGGTAAAATTATTGTTCAAACTTTTCATCAATCACCTTATGATCATGGATTTAATTGAGCACGCAAATTTCATCAAATTATGAGAAAATAGTACCAATGGAATCACAAAGTAATGCTCAATGAACTAAACCTAAAGATCAGCAAGAGATCACATTGTGAAAGATGAAAAATTCAACTTACCAAAGGTAGATCTAGAGAATTATCAAAACAACTTCAAGAATTTGCTTCAATTCAGCCCCAAGAATCAATTTCCCAAGCTTGGATGTAGAGAATTGATGAAGAAAAAGTGTTTGGATGAAGGTTTAGCTCAAAGATTAGTAAGCTTCAATGCAAAGCTTACTAACTTTTTTTTTTGAAAATGGAGCTTTGAATGAATTTGGTAGATGGATAGAATTGAGAGACTTTTTAGCAAAATGAGTTTGGCTATCAAAATCTTGAGATTTGAATGAAATGAGGGCTCTATTTATAGAGTTTAGGCTTGGGATTAGTGGTGGTTTTGTAATTAATTATTGGAGCCAAAATTTGAATTAATGATATATCTTTCAAAAAAAGAAAAATCGGAGCCAAAATTTGAATTAATGATATATATTTCAAAAAAAGAAAAATTGGAGCCAAAATTTGAGTTAATGATATATCTTTCAAAATATGAAGAAAATTTGCAGGCAAAATTAACAAGTTTGAAATTGCTAATTTTTTCAAAATTTCACTCTGTGCAATCGATTGCACTATGGGAGCAATCAATTGTACAGTAAAAAAAATGAAATTATTTTAAATTTTTTTTTTTGCAAATAGAAATTTTAGGAAAATAATATCGGAAAACCCTATTTGTCAGATGCTTTGACTCGGTACCTACAAAACACAAATATACAAAGACAAAGACAAATATTTTTTTGTATTTTGATTAGAAGTTAGTCAACAACACAAGAGCAAACTTAAAGATAGGATGCAAATGTGATAAATGAAGCTATTTCTTAATGATTGTGTCCAAATGACAAAATATGATATGAAAATGCGACTGAAAAAATTATGGGCGAAATTTAGGGTACAACACCCTTGAAGGTGGAATTACCATAAATCTCTCCAACTAAGAAATAATCATAAGTTTTCCATCTCGTCCAATTGTAACTAGTTCCTTAGGATATTCTTTCAAAAATTTAATTGGAAAAATGGGGATGTTACAGTTGAGATATAATTCTCCTATCCCCATAATATTGATTGAAATGTTGTTGATTCTTTTCCACTTGATGGAATTAGAGGCATGCTTGTTGATTCTATATCCAAGTTGGAGCCCTTCCTTCATGATAATGCAAAGATTCATCTTCTCATACTTGTGGGTTGATTAGTTGAGTATTCTACTTAAGATGACAATTTATGTCTTCTCCTAAAAATCAACCAACAAACATTTTGTTATTTGTACCCCAAACTACGAGGTTTTGATCCTTTATTGATACATAGGTATAAGACTTTATGTCTTTCCAAACACAAAATCAATAAAAAATATATTTCTCTCTTCATCTCCACACTCTTTTTGCAAACAAACCATTTTAACCAAAAACACAGATATTACAAGAGGTTCCTATAGAGTACTATAGATACATATGATACTAATACATTCCCTTTATATAACCAACCTCCGTACCTTAAATTCCCTAAAACAAAAAACAAAAATTAAAATTAAAATAATAAAAAAAATGCAATTTTATGATTCTGAAAATGCAAATAAAGTTAGTGAAAAAATAAAACAAAATAATGTTAAAAAGTAAAGCAAGTGAGATTCAAACCCATAACCTTTATACTTGTAAGCCTTATCTCCTTACCGATTGTGTTATCTCATTTATTTAAAATGAAAAGGCACTTGAAAGCATATGAAGGATGGAAAAGTATTTGCTATTTAAGAAATACAAATAGATTGAAGTAAACTATTATATATTTTTAATTAGGAAAAATAAATTAAAAATAAATATTTATAAAACCCAAAATATTAGTGTAAATAAACCAAAGAAATTTATAAAAACCAATTTGAAAAGTCATTTGAGTGTAGAAAATAAGACGGACAAATTTGGGGTATGACAACTAAGTCCTCTAGAGGCAAGTTTCTTCAACGGTCCTATAGGCTGAGGCAAGGTAATATGCAGGGGCATCTCCTTCATCTCAAGGTTTGATCAGGTTAAGTTCAGGTGCAAGTTAAACAACTTGAAAGTTCAAAGAGATTGTCGGGAAGTCATGATCATCATCCTCAATTGAAATCAGAAATTTAAGTCCAAATTAATTGCATTCCCCAATAGAGTCTCCAGCTGTCGTAACTGGAAAAAAATATGAGAGAGTCACCATCACTACTTATTTGTCTTAAAGACGGGAAAGGAACGAAAAACCCCAATCGTTCATAGATTGATGGATTCGATAGTTAATTAGATAAAGAAAATGTGTTAGACACATTTTATCTCCCTTGTACTCAAGGGGATCTTTTTTAGACCCAGGACTTATAGGAAATATTTTTTTATTTAATTATTAAACTATCGTATATAAGAAAAAGAACCAGAGAAAAATAAGTTTTTTAAGTTAGTGGACTCGCTTTGGTTTTTCAATCGTGTGCCTATGTATCTTCATTAGAAGAAATTAGAGTCCTTCATAGTTCGAATGTGTTTTGTTAGTGTTTTTTATAAGATTGTGTTAAGTTGCTTTCGAATGATTTTAAAATTGTCGGAGTTTGGAAATTGAGTGATGGTAGGCGAAGTTTTTGTGTTCATATAAAACGATACCAGACAACCATTTATTGAAAAAAGTCTTGAGTTTTGATTATGTTAGTAGAAAAATATTTTTGATTGGTTAACTGTTTTAATTTAAGTTTTGTTTGAGTTTTTTTGAAGAAGAGTTGATCTTCCATAGAATTAAATCGCATTAGGCGAAGATATTAATTGATGAGTTTTAGATATTTTGATTTGAATAACCAATTGGTAAGACGTTAAGCCAACCACTTAATTACTCGAGGATATATATCATATTATTTGCGAAATATTGAATTAATTTGATTTTATAGGAAAAATTGAATTAGTGAAAAGTTTAAACTATTTGATCAAAATTAATTAAATTAATCAAAGACTAATTGCATTAACTAAACTAATTGAATAGATTAGGAATAAACAAATTAGTTAACCGAATAAAAATTAAAGTAATTAAAAAAAACCTAAAACAGGGTATGATTAGAAAATGTGGGTGTTAATTAGTAAGAGAGTAAAAAAGCTAACCCAAGGCCCACTTGATACTTAAAAAAAACCTAACTATAAATCCAATTAAATCAAACAAATAGCAACTAAACAAAAATAAAGATTGAGAAAGGTTTGTACTGGCGCTGCGCATCCCATCATGTTAGTGGGGAATTTCAATATTCTTTTAATTTCTAAAGGTATCCTATAATCTATTGACACTTGGCATAAATTAAAAGAAAAAAGAAAAACAAAATAAAGCTTACATTGAAACTAACACAGAGAGAAAAAAAAAACAAAATAAAGCTTACATTGAAACTAACACAGAGAGAGGAACAATATCATAACATCACTTGAGCACCTTCTCTTTCTTTCTTCCACGAACTCTCTCTCTTCATTCTCATAATCTCTCACCTCTTTTCTTCAAAAGCAACTTAAATCAAATCAAAGCAAAGATTTATGAGTAAAAAAAAAACAATTGTAACAACAGAAGCAACACGATACCGTGACGGTTCGGACGGTGCATGATCGGATGCAAATCGGAGAGGAAGGCGCCACGACGGTGCAAGTTGCGGCTCACCAGCGGTGGTGCTTCGTCAGGACTCTGCGTGTCCGGCGGAGTGACTGGTGGTGTCGCGATCTAGTCGTAGAGTCTCGGCAATGGACGATTTGTGCGACGAGATGGAGTGGCTTCACGGAGGTGAACGGAGGAGCCGTGATGGTGCAGCTGTATTGGTTCTGAGCGTCGGTCGAAGGGACTTTCCGTGGCTGTATTCAACAATGTTGAGAGGCAATGATGATGGTGATGGCATCGTTGTCGGGGCAGGTTGTTGCGGGTTTGTCGGCGCGGCTCGAGTGAGTGCTGTTGACGGAGGCTCAGACCGTGGCAGAGTTTCGATTTGCACTTAATCTTTCTTTGAATCTGTTCTTATTTTTTCTCTGCAATAAAAAAAAAAAATTCTACACCACTTGATATATGAATTTTTTAGAAGTAATGAAGAAAGTATGGTTAAATATTTTGTTTGAATAATAAGGCAAAAAAACTATTTTTACAAGTTGATGGTATTATCGAAAATATGTACAGGCGCAGATGGCCTTTGGATTGAAAATTAAGATTGACTTGTGTTAGAAAATATGCACACAATATTATAGTGTTTTGTGGTAATATGCGATTGTTAATAAGTGTGAAAATTTGTGTAGGTTTTTAAAGAATAAAGATAAAAAAACAGTGGCAAATAACGCATAAGCATAGATCTAGTGTAAATAGAACCATCAGATCATTGTTATCATTTGGTTTAAATAATAAAATAAATTAAAATTAAGAAATTAAAAATAAAAAGGAGAATTCATGTTTTAATCATTGTTAAAATAAAAAAAATAAAAAAAAAAGGTTTTGAAAGAAAACATGTATAGAAAAAGATTGAAAATTGTGAATGTTTTTGTATGCGTTAGTAAAATTGTAAAATTATAAATTTTTTGAATGTAGTGGATGTGTGTGAAATTGTGAAACCGTGAATGATCTAAAATTATGAAAATAGAATGCTATTTATAGTTTGGAAAAATTAGGTTAAAGGGCAAAAATGGAATAAATTAAATTAAATAAATATCTATAAAACCCAAAGTATTAGTGTGAATAAATCAAAGAAATTTATAAAAACCAATTTTGAAAATCAATTGACTGTAGAAAATAAGGCGGGAAAATTTGGGGTACGACACACATCTTGGCTCAATTTGGAGAAATTGTGAATTTGTAAATTTGATTTCATGTGTTAGAACAAGATTTATATTCTACAATTAATCTCTGAATTTTGAAGATAACAATACATATATTTTATATATAAACAATTTTGTTTCTGATAGTTTCTTAAGTGTGTAGATTAGAAGTTCTAATTGATTCATGACTGTTGTCTGAAGAATCGTCAGAAATATACCAAGCACGCATCAGAAAGACTATTGCATTCACTTCTGAAGAAACATCAGTAGTTCTGAAGAATGTTGAATGTTGGCCAGAAAGAGGATCTCATGTGTACTTCTCAATAAGTTGCTACTTCAGAAGTCACAAGTATTCTAGAAGAAAGAATTTATGTTAGAGTTGTTGCTCCAAGATCAGAAAAAAAGATTGCACCAGAAACAAGCTTTTGCTTCAAAGGTCAGAAGTCAAGATTTGTTCATTAGAGGAATTGTTGCTTCTAACTTTGAAGACAAAGTCAAGGTTCTGAACACATCAAAGAAAAGCTTCTACTTCCGAATCATAAGTCAAAATTTGTTCATCAGAAAAGTTGTTGCTTCTAATTCTAAAGACAAAGTCAAGATTCTGAAGACTCAGATACTTTGTGGAATATGCTCACATTACTTTACATTATAATTATTCCATTATAAGATAGATCAAGGAAAGTTATATCTTCAAGACTCATTACTATTTTACACATATATTCCATCAGAAGACAAGATCAAAAGATGATATATTCTCAAGTCAATATGCTTCATCAGAATTAATATTCATCAGAAGACAGAATCATCAAAATGTGCGCTAGAAGAGTTAGTACAGAGGTACAATTACACATTCCATTTAAATGGATGTACTATGTATTATTTATCTTCCATGATCGTTTCTTACCGTTGGCATCTGACAAGATGAAAGTGATGTGTGTACTACTACAATATTCTACTTCTTCAACGTCTATATAATGGTTCAAGCAATTCATTTTCAATTTAACGAAAAGAATATACAACAAGGAATCAAGAACAATAATGATGCCCAAATCAAAGCAAGAAAAAGAAAAAGATTTAAACACAATAGTTATTGCCCATTATTGTGTTGATAGTATTATTGGCTAGAACAAAAGAGTTGTTGCTTATTATTATGTTAATATTTTAATTTGTTTGAACACAAGAGTTGTTACTCATATTCGTGTCAAAAAAATTTATACTTAAGCATTTGTGTAATCCGCTTGTAAGAAGCAATCTTGTAAACACATTATTCCACTGAAAGTTGATTGTTTCTTGAGTAACTAAGGTGTTAGTCAGAATACTCAAGAAGATTTAGAGAAATCTCCTTCAAGGGACCAGGTAGGTCAGAAGCCTTAAGGAGTCAATGATCGTTATATCTCTTAGGGGACCGGGTAGCTCAGAATTCTTAAGGGATCACTAACAGATTATCACTGTTTGTTGTTAGTCACCTGTGGGTAGCCCGTGCATCTGTAATCTTTCAAGATTAGTGGATTAAGTGCTTTTCTAAGGTGAAATCACCTTGTCGGGTGGACAGGATTAGCCTTTTATAAGGTGAACCTATATAAATTTAAAGTGTCATTATTTCTCTCTATAGCATTGATTCCTTTCTGATTGTTTGTGTAAAGCACTTCTAAACGAAAAAGTTTTTGAAAACTCAATTCAAACCCCCATTTCTTGTGTTTTTTCAACCTTTAATTGGTATCAGAGCTTCCTCTAAGTTATTGATTTTCTAATCAAACACTTAACCATATAGAGAGATCCAGTGTGAGAAAAACCTTCTAAATGGTTGCTGCTAACACAAATGATAGAGATAAATACAGTGTTAAACCTCTTATTTTTTATGGAGACAAATTTGACTATTTGAGAGATAAAATATAAAGTTTCTTTCTAGGCTATGATATAGATATCTTGGAAATGGTTACAAATGGTTATAAAGAACTTGTTAGTGCAATTGGTATTCCTATTCGCATGAACATAATGAATGAAGATCAGAAGCACAACTTTAAAAATCATCACAAAGCCAGAACTATTCTTCTCAGCATAATCTCGTACAATGAATATGAAAAGATTACAAACATATAAACAACTAAGGTTATTATTAATTCACTCATAATGACACACGAAGGCCATGCACAAGTCAAAGAAACTGAGGTCTTGGCCTTAATTCAGAAATATGAAGCCTTCAGAATAGAAGATGATGAAACGGTTGAAACCATGTTCTCAAGGTTTCAAACCTTGGTGGCGGGACTTAAGGTTATGGACAAAGGATATTCTACTGTTGATCATGTCAATAAAATCATCATAAGTCTTCCTAAAAGATTGAGACCTATGGTTACTGCTTTAAAGCTTTATAAGGATCTGGATAGTATAACTCTTAAAAATTTAGTCAGTTCGCTTAGAAGTCATGAGATAGATCTAGAAGAAGACGAGCCTCAGAAAAAGAACAAATTTATTGCTCTAAAATCTAGAACAGAAAGAACTAGATCAGAAAAGAGCAAGGCTTTCCAAGCTGAAGAAATTGAAGAATCTAATGATGAATATTCCGATGATGAAGATGAATTGTCACTTCTATCTAGATGAGTTAAGCAAGTCTGGAAGAAAATACAAAAAAAAAATGGTTGAATATTCAGAAATAGAGGAGATCGTCCAGAAGCATCTGATAAAGGAAGAGCTAGCAATGAAGTAATATGTTTTTAGTGCAATGAGACTAGACACTACATAAATGAATGTCCAAATCTCAAGAAGGAGAGCACTAAAAAAGAAAGCTTCATGAAAAGCACTTTCAAAGGTAATAAGAAAGGTCTCATGGTAACATGAGATGATTCTGACTCTAAAGGATCAAAATCAAAAGAAGAACGTGCAAACGTAACACTCATGGGTATTAGTTCAAAAGAAGACACATTAGAAATAGAGTCTGAATCTGAAAAGGTATTTTCTGAATTCTCTCGAGCTGAATTAGAATTATGTTTATCAAAAACTCTGAACAAGTATCAGAAGCTTCAACGAAAATTCAAAAATCTTCAGAATATTCATGAATATGAAATTGAAGAATACGATAAGATAAAGATAGAAAGTCTTAAAAAAAGATGATCATTTGATTTTTAAAAATGAAAATGTGTTTCTAAATAAAAAAAAGTTCAAAACTGGAAGAAGTTCTTTCTAAAGCTTCCCTATCTTTTGAAATCGTCATGTACCAATATGATAAAGCTTTTCAGAAGTTCCTAAACGATAACATAGGCAGAAGCATGATGGATTCTATGATCTATGGTGTCGGTCATAACGGGAAAATATGAATTGTTTATGTTTCAGATGAAACAAATCAAAACTCTTCTAAAGGAGACCAACCCATGTCACCATTTTCTTATCTATATCCTCTCGCACAGACACGAAAATTTAATGATGCACGAAAAAGCCAAGTTTATCAGAAACTCTGAGAAAACTAACTCTAAGAGGTTATTTGGAAGTTGGTTGTTGGAGGTTTTTTTAGGGGAAGGCTTTGGAGGGTTGCATATATATCTAAAAATATATTTCATATTTTTAAAAAGTTTAAAAAGCAATATACTACATTAGCATATATGATATATTGTTTTTTAAACTTTTAAAAAAAATCAAACATATTTTTAGATATAGACGCAACCCTCCAAAGTCTTTCCCTCCAAAAAAACCAACTCCCAAACAACCCCTAAAGGACCCAAAAGATTGTGGGTGCCAAAAGAAAAGATTTTATATGTTTCAGATCTAGAGATAACACTTGCAGGTTCTAAAGAGAAATATTCTGATAGTAAGCTGGTCAGAAATAATGATACATCCGAAGCACTTGATTGTCCATCAGTTCAGAAAAGGCAAAGGTAAAGACAAACTATTTCTGAAGATTCGAATTTGGGAGATCAAGTTGAACCTGTCAGAACAAGATCCACCATTAAACAATTTGAAGAAACTCTTCTGGAATTGGTATCTCTGATAGAACCAACCTCATGTGATGAAACACTTCAAGAAAATGGATGGATTCTGAAAATACAAGAAGAGAAAAACCAGTTCTCTAGAAATGGTGTTTGGGGTCGAGAGCCTAAACCAAAGGGAACTCATATTATTGCAACCAAGTGAGTCATCAGAAACAAGATAAATGAGAAAGGTTAAATCATCATAGACAAGATACACCATGTTAGAATTTACATGTT